CACATGTCTTATTAGTGGGCTGTGCTCACTCAGTTAGGCAGGAGGTCAATTCCTGAACCTCATCAGGAGGTCAGCAAACTACACCTGCCCTCTCAGTGACCCCACCTCACTAAAGACAGTGTCCACTGTTCTCTCCAAATGCTGGGCTGTGGGCAAGGCAGGTCTCACTGCAGGGATGCTGCACAGGGAAGGGGACTGGGCCTCCTCCCTCACCCAGCCTGCCCTGCATGCCGTCCTGTCTGCTGTCAGCCTGGCTCTGCTGCTCTGGGGCACTCAGGGGCTCTCAGCCTCAGGCTGCAGCTGAGACCTGCCTCTGCTCCCAGGACTCTCCCCTGGCCCAGCACCTCCATCCTGTCCTCTCCTGGTGGAGACCAGAGGGCAGGACAGGTGAGGGGAGGAGCTCAGGGCAGATTCCCGCCCACTGCTGTCCACAGGCATTGGCTGGACAGTCAGGAGGACAAGCAGGGCACAGGGTGGGGAGGGCAGTGGGCACACAGCAGGAAGCCCCTCCCCTCCTGAGACCCTGCTCCCTCCTCTCCTGCTCAGTCTGTAGCCCCCAAATCTCACAGAGATGAAAGAGAAGAACTAGTCCTGAGAACAAAGGGGGGCTCTTCTCCTGGATGTGGGGAACCCCATCCTCAGCCCTGGGCTCTGTTCAGTCATCACTGAGGGCTTCTCCTTCAGGGCTGGGAGGTGGACCCGGGCCTCTTGCATGCTGGGCACGTTCCTGCCACTCTGACACCCTCCCAGGAGCAGGGAGGAAGGGCTTGGAGGAGGCAGGGCTGGGCTCAGGAGGGTGGGCTCCCCCTCTGACAGCCTTCCAGCACCCCTGAAACCACCTGCTCTCCTCTCACAGGTAAAGCTCCACCTGGGTTCAAGACAGGGACACATCTCAGGAGCACAGAGGACCTGGGCAGCCTGACCTCAGCCTCTCCAGATATCAGAAGAGCCTCACCCACATGCAAATTCCTCCTGCTGCTCTGGGTTCAAAGGCCCTCTGGGCTGTGGGAGCTCCCAGCTCTCTCTCAGACAGGGCTGAGGTCTCTGGGAAGGCAGGTGTGGTCTAGAAGATGAGGCTGCTGGGTCTTGTCCTGTGCCTGGTCACAGCTCCTCAAGGTGAGTGTCCCCAGTGTCAGACCTGAGTCCATGGGGAGGTTGTGACTACAGGTGACTAACAGGGTGTGGCTGTCCTTGTCCCTAGGTGTCCTGTGCCAGGTGCAGCTGAAGGAGTCAGGACCTGGCCTGGTGAAGCCCTCACAGACCCTGTCCCTCACCTGTGCTGTCTCTGGTTACTCCATCACCAGTGGTTACTGCTGGAGCTGGATCCGTCAGCCCCCAGGGAAGGGGCTGGAGTGGATAGGGTGCATAGGTTATGATGGTAGCACTTACTACAACCCATCCATCAAGAGCCGAGTGTCCATCTCCAGGGACACGTCCAAGAACCAGTTCTCCCTGCAGCTGAGCTCCCTGACCACTGAGGACACGGCCACCTATTACTGTGCCAGAGACACAGTGAGGGGACCTCAGTGTGAGCCCAGACACAAACCTCCTGCAGGGTGCCCAGGGCCAGCAGGGGGCGCTCAGCACACAGGAGCTTCTGTCACCCCTGAGCAAGTGCAGAGGAGAGTGGATGGTTTCTCTCCAGGTGATAAGTGTCTCCCTGGATCCCATCATGGAGAATCTGGAGGTCTCTTCTGCCTCAGATCATCCCATGCTCTTCTCTTAAGGAGTCAGGAGTGTCTCTCTCCACCTTCTCAGGTCAGGCTGCACAGTACACGTGTGAGTCTATGTGTCCAATTGTGTATATATGTGTGTAGGTTATGTGTGTGTGTGTGTGTGTGTGTGCAGGAGTGTTGTGTGTGTGTCTCTGTGTGACTCTGTATGGGTGAGACCCCTGGAAGGCAGACTCTGCTACCTTGTCACATTGCTGTCCCTGAGCTCCAGGCCTGCCCCCTGCTCCAGCAGCCAGTTCCTGGGCCGCTGCAGAGGACTCACATGGGGAAGGCTCAGCAGGCTCTCAGACACCTCCACCCACCACAGCCATGAAATTGACCCTGCCAGGTGCTCTTTACACACTGACCTGGGCTCACCCTCCCCAGGGCAGGCAGCTGTCAGTTCACACCAAGGTTGCAGCCTCCTCTTCCAGACCAGAGCACGGGATCCCAGAGTCCTCAGCCGCCCCACCACACACACACACACACACACACACACACACACACTACTCAGCCTACCACACAGTGTCCTTAGCTGTCATCATAGAAACAACTTTGACACAGTGGTTCTCCTGGTGACTGCACAGCTGCCCTCCACCCTTGGCCACATCTCCTCCTCATCTCTCCCTGGTGACCTCTCCCACCTTGGTTCATGAGTTGCCTGAGCCTTTACCTGAGAGGTGATGTCCTGCATGTGGATGTGGTGTCCACAGGTCCTGCTGCTGCTGGGCTCCACCTCAGGGACCATGGCAGTGTCTGGGGTCAGTCTGGGTGTCTGCAGGGCAGTGGGCCTCTCCTGACTCTGGGTGGTAGAGAGCTCCCTGCTGCCTCCCACTTCACAATCCCAGAGCCCAAATGCCAGCTCTGCCAGGCTCAGGAACCCTGTGCCCACCTTAAGCCTCATCTCAGTTCACCCCACAAAGTGACTTGGCTGTGACTCACTGACCTGGACACCCTCAGCTCACCTGGTCTCAGTGTGCACAGAGGGCACTGGGTCCACTCCTCACCCTTGTGTCCCTGGAGTGTGGGGTGAGTGACCTGAGTGTGCACCCAGGAAGGAGCAGGGTGCCCACAGCAGACACAGGTGCAGGACAGGGCAAGGCCACACACCTGTGGGAGCTGAATCCCACTCTGCCCATCCTGAGCTCCTTCAAGACCTCCATATGTCTCAGTGCACAGTCAGCTGACTCCACAGCTCTGGTCCTAGGTGAGGGAGACCATCATGGCAGAAGGGAAACCAGCTCAGGATATGGTAACAAGGAAGCTTAGAGAGAGCTCTGCTCACCAGGGACACAATTACAACCCCAAAAGCACACGCCCAGTGACCTACCTCAACCAACACAGCCTTCCCACATTTGGTTGCCACCCAGGTGATACACATACGTGCATGAGTCCACTTATTAGGTTCCAATGCTCATGATCTAATCTTTCCACCTCTACAAATCATTGCATTGGCACACAATCTCTTGGGGACACTTCATTTCTAAACCTTAGTGTTCTTCCCCAGGCCCCCAATGTTCAGGCCCATCTCACATTTCAAAACTCACTGAGCCCACCTTCAAGAGTCAGCACTGTCCTAACAGCCCCAGGGTGACCCAAAGCCAAGGCACAAAATCTCTTCTGAGGCCCAATGGAAACTCCTCACTGTGGGAGTAAAGTTCAAAACCAAGTTCCAGGTGTCTGATATATAAAGGTGCAGAGTCAACATCTCCAGTTTGAAAGTTAGAAATGAGGCATAGAATAAAGGGATGGGAGCAAAGTGAGACCAAAGTCCAGCTGGACAAGCAGGTCCTGTAGCTCCGTGTCCAGCACCTGGGCACCTGGCATCCTCTGCTTTACCCACAGGGCTCACCTCAGTTTTAGCCCAGACACAAACCTTCTGCAGGGCCCTCAGGGCCAGCAGGGGGCGCTCAGCACACAGGGAACTCAGGGTCACCCAGGAGCAGGTGCAGAGGGAGGAGGGAGCAGCTCAGCTCAGGCCCTGAGGTCCCTGCCCACCCAGCACCTCCTGACTCCACCTTGCCTGCAGATTCTCGAGGTCCCTCCTCTGCCAGACCCTCTGTGAGGTGATTCGTCTCTAAGTCTTCTCTGGAATTCTCTCAGCACAGACCAGGCAGTTTTGCAGATGGAGATGAATTTTCAGGGACATTTCCTGAACAGCGTCGTTCAAGTGAAGTTTACAGATTTTTCTTTTCATCACCGGGGATTGAATCCAAGGAGTTCCACCCTTGAGCTCCATTCCTGGCTTATTTGTGTCTTATTTTGAGACAGGTTCTCCCTAAGATGCCCAGGCTGACCTTGAAGTTATGATTCTCCTGCCTCAGCCCTCAGTGTCCCTGGGGCTCCACGTGAGCTCCCCCACACCTGCTTAACTTTACAACCTCCAGACGCCATGTCTTGGTCCCTGCCTTTTCAGGTGGATCCCCTGTCCCCTTCCCATGACTCCTTCCCATTCCCACTTCATCTACTGTTCTTCCTTTGATGGATCAGGACACAGTGCACACATTATTGGAGCCCACTTAGTGCCAGAACTTTCTACCCCTGGGGACCATTGGCAATGTCTAGAGGGAGTTGTTTTCACATGTTAAGGATGAATTGTCTTGGCTATTTGTATCAGATAATTCCTTTCTGTGGTCTCTAAAAACTATTAGAGACCACAGAAAGGAATTATCTGATACAAATATCCATGGACTGAGCTGAAAATGTTGACAGAAAACCTTAAAACTTATTAAAATGCATAAAAATGTACATATTCAGAGTGAACCTTGGTGTGTGGGAGCTGTCTGCCCCTCATGATGAGCCTCTATGACACGCACACCTCACACCCAGGGCTCCAAAGTGTGGATACTCCCACTCATCATGAATCTGTGCATGCCCTGTGGACAGAGGTGACCTGAACAAGATCTTGGAGAGACAGGGTCTCCATTTGCAAAGACCCAGGAGAGAGGGTGGTCAGCTGTGCATGGAGGTGTTTCTTCTCTTGGTCTGACTGTGGGTCAGCTCTGCCCCTGACCTAAGGACTCTCAAGAAACACTGTGCCCAGGACCACTCTGACCCCATCTTCCTGTGAGGTGACCCTTAGCCTGAGAAGCCCCAGGACAGCTGGCTGCTGGGGAGAGACAGCTTGGAGCCTGCCTGGGTTTCCAGCCCCTGTGGCTGCATTGCAGGGTCATAGACAGGGACACCCTGGGCCCTGTCCCAGCTCACGTCAGTGCCCACCCTGTCCTAGAGACCAGCTACAGTCTGGGTGAGGATGAGCAATGGCAATATTTATATCCCAGATTGTCCTAAATTAGTCTTTTGTTCATTCCACAGAATTAATAATTTATGTAGTTTAAAAATATGTGTTTAGAGCTATAGCATTGATTTTGCATAATAAATTTGTAAATTGCCAAGTTAGAGTGTTATGTTTTATAACAACTTGTGCCACTTATATTTCTGTCAATGATACTTCCAATTTTCTCTATATTTTAATATTGTATTTTGGATATAATTGTGCAAAATGTGTGGTTCATTTTGATGAATTTATAGATAAATAAGCAAAATTTTATAGCAGAGTACTTGCTCCCTGTCCCTATTTCCTACCTGAAATTTTCCTGCCTGTTATCATCTCTGCAATTTACTCTCTATTTTTCTTCATATTAAGTACAAATACAATGATGTTTCTTTGTTGTATACCTATGGTGGCCTGAGACATACCTGAGTAATAGTTTACGTTGTACAATTTATTGTAATTTAGTGAACAAAAGGGACATTTCATCTAAATAAAGACATAATTCTCCCAATATCTATCTTCTGACATGCTATATTTTCTGTCTGCTTTGTCTCATTGAAACCTCAGGACTTGCTCTGGGGTCTTGTTTAGCCCATGCCTGAGCTCAGTGGATGCAGGGATTATCTCCTCTAAACACTGTGCCTCTCACTTGCAGAGACCCTGTGTTTGATTGCTTAATCTCACATTTCTGACTATAAAAATTGTACTCAGGTAAGTAAATGAGATTTAGGTATTGACAGTTGAATATATTTTTAAAAACCTGATTATAAATTAATATGTTGTATTTTGGTTTCTTTTACGTGTGATGGTGTTTCATTGTTAATATGATTAAAAATGTCAGCATCTCTCTCCATCAGACACTCAGCTGGTGATTCCAGCTATAATTTCATACTTACACTGAAACCTAGCTCTAGTGAAGCAGAGGACAGCACCCCGACACAGGGGTGCCAGGCACCATGAGGAGTCCCAGGCTGTGCACACCTAGCTGTCAATCACCCATCCCTTCTTGGTGTGGGGAGCCCACCAGCTGCTCTGCCCCAGTTGCTGTGAAGCACAGCCTGCCTGTGGGCCACAGGTGCCCTGTGAGCTGCAGAGCACCAGGATAAAACATGGGGAGTTTAACAGTTACTGGGAGACCAGTGTCTGATGTTGGGGTCCCTGATGACTTCATGGCTGTGGCATACTTGGTGACTGGGAAAGTTTCTGGGCAAAGGCATAGAATGCCTCATTGCTATAGAAATTTCCTCCATGTTAGAGTTTTATCTGCCTTGACCTCTTCCTCAGGTCCAGAAGATCCTGGGAATGAAGGAACTTCCTTGCTAAAATAACCACAATGTTTCACCAGTTCTGTAGGCATAACATCCTACACCTCACCTCAGGTTCTTTGTCCACCATCACAACCTGTAAGCCCTGTTGCAAACCTACTGATTACATTGTAGATAATAATAGAATTCACCATTTCTGTACATCGTGACCAAACTATTAACATCTTAATAGCAACAATTTGAGGTTGTATACAACTTAAGGTTATATACTGTTTGTAATGGGATCTGTTAACATTGTCTTTCCCCTTAAACAAGAGATATTGGAACCCTGAAGGGGCACTATAAACCAATAGGGTTAAAATGTTAACGACATAGATCCACAGTGCTAGAAGGGAAGACACACAATCAACATAAATAGACCAGGGAAGAAAGTGCCCCAAACAAAACAAGATATGGCATTATTAGAATCCATGGCCAGCACCACAGATGAATCACAGTGAGGGAGTTCACGATGCACATAATTAAAATGTTCTGTGGATTAATGGATAATATAAGAGAGCAACTACACGAGCATAAGATCATTTTGATAGAGAGTTACATAAGAAAATACAGGAAGAAAAGATTACTTCAATGGGGAGATAGAGGTTCTAAGAAATTAGCAAACAAAAATCCTTGAAATGAAAGAAACAATAAACCAAATTAAAGCTCCAATTGAAAGCATCACCAATATATTAGTCCACTTGGAATACAGGATGTCAGACAATGAAGACAAATATATAATCTTGTAAAGAATGTAGAACACACAGTGAAAATGGTAAGAAACCATGAGCAGGACATTCAAGAAATATGGATAGCATAAAAAGTCTGAATTTAAAAGTTATTGGGGACTCCTGCAAGGTAGGCAGACCTGCGACCCACTGGCAGAAGAGGAGCAGCGGCCTGCTGAGAGGCAGAGCCGCCCCCTCCCCCTGTGCAGGCAAGGTAGAGGGAACTGTGACCACCCACAGAGCAGGCCCAGCGGCCTGCTGAGGGGCAGAGCCACCCACACCCCCCACGCCTGCCAGGTAGGCGGAACTGTGACCACCCACAGAAAAGGTCCAGTGGCCCGCGGCGGGACAGAGCTTCCAATCACTCCTGCAAGGTAGGCGGGCCTGCGACCCACCGGCAGAAGAGGAGCAGCGGCCTGCTGAGAGGCAGAGCCGCCCCCACCCCCCACGCCTGCCAGGTAGGCGGAACTGTGACCACCATCAGAACAGGCCAG